GTAAGAAGGCATACTTTAAATACGTACTTTGTTTACTAAATATATAGTGGGCCCTTGGTATCCACTGGGGTTTGATCCCAGGACTCCCATGGATACCAAAATATGTGGATTATTAATTCCCATTAAATATAATGGAGTAGTAAAATGGTGTTCCTCATATAAAATGGCAAAATCAAACTTTACTTTTTGGAACTTTAAAAAAATATATAAGCCATGGATGACTGAATCTATAGATGCAAAATCCGTGGATAAGAGGACTGACATAAATCAAAACCTCCTGATTCAAGTTTTTTTCCAGAAAACCCAAATATTGGTGTTTGCCACTCCAAAGTAGGGCAGTTTTCTCAGGAATAAACCAGCCTAACTAGAACTGGGCCCAAAGAGCTGAGTTAGGGTGGGAATATGAAGCTTATTTATGCACCTAAATGCATGATTGTTTGCCTAGTTTTCAAGAAGTACAAGAAGGGATTTGAGTTCTGTTTAACAATTCTGTACAAGACGAAATTTCAGAGTTTAGTTTTTCATGTAGGCTGTGCCTGCTGAAATTTCCCCTCATCTCCACAGTTGTTAAAGGTGCAAGAACCCTGTCATCTCTGGAACTTGGCACCCCCAATCTGGGAGTTTCAGGAAGAAGAGCGGGGAAAGGGTAATAAAATTCCTCTCTGGGAGAAAGTTATGCTATGAGCAGACAATCAGAGGTGACATGGCTCAAATATTTTGCCCATAGAAGTTTCCAAATTAAGTCTAAACAGCCCTGGTAAAAATTATGCTTTCCAGCCTGAGTTGGTGCTCTTCAAGTAACGTTGTATGTGGACCATTGCTGTGATTCAGAATACTGCAGATAGCTTCATTTCATTTCTTTCTTCTATAAGAGAAAGAGGTTAGGTTGCACCCTGAATTGTACTGCTAAATTCTCCATCTAGAAGTATCTTCTGAACTGATATGCATGGGGTAGATTCGTTAGCATAGGCCTTAGGAAAGAAACAGTTTCCACATCAACCAAAGTTCTGGTGTACTTCCAGATGACACAGAAAATATCACATTCTAGTTTAACTGCATCTGAAATCACTTCCTTAACAGGCAGCAGCTCTTTCCTAAAGTCAAAAGCAGAACAAGCAATCAGAAACATGAGCTAGTGATGACTAAATGAAGCAAATCAATATAATGTTTTTACATAGAATGCGATGCTCAAAAGAAAGAAATTAAGGCTTAGCAAGTACTCTGCCCTTTAAATTTACTAATCATGAGAACTGTAATTCAATCAGAAAATAATCAAGGTTCCTTTTATGTAAAGCAAAATTAGGAATCTAATAATATGAGACCTCTGTATCCCAAAGCCTAATTATATTAATAAATAGCTTTTGTGAACATGAAGATACACTGTGTAAGTTTTCCATTTCCTCAGCCTGTAGGAGAAATTGCAGATGTATGCCAAGGGTCTCTTCCTCATCCTCAAAGCAAGAAATGAGGCATGCACTGTCTAAACTACACTGGTCCCTGTCCAGGGTGAGTTAAAGCACATTACAGACATCTATGCTCATCAAGGACTCAATATACTGAAATATTGTAGCCAATCTCTTAAATTAAAACCATGTTCATATAACCTACAAGTGTTTTGCATACACACACACAGAGAGAGGCATATATAAATTACCAAACACTTAAGCATGGAAAGCCTCAGTGACAGCCTTCCAAAGCAATGATTTATTGTGCATGGACAGTTTTCCCCATCCAGTTAGATTGGTTTTCCCAGGCATTACCATCTCTTATGAAAATGTGGATGCTACCAAGCCAGATCCAGTTATAATTTTAAGACATATGATGTTATTTGTTCTGTGAAAACAAATGGCAGCTGATTCTTCCAGACAACATGAAAATTATAAATTGACCAAAAACCAAGACATGGATTGAAATAATTCTGGATGTCATTCATTCCCAACTCAGCCCTTTATCCCTTGATACACAACAACCCCAAGCAATGGTAGAAATGTATTCATATTGTAATTATGACAGATATTAATGTTAACAAAATTTAGAAGCATAAAACATAAGGCAATATTCTCAAGCAAACTTGGGTTTGTGAAGCACATAACCATTGGGCTGTTCTCTTATACCCACTCTTATATCTCGGGATTTATTTCAATGGGACTTACTTCCAACTAAACAGATACAGAATTGCATGGTTAGCATTACACACAATCAGAAGGTTTTAGGACACTGCCACAGCTTATATTATTCTTACTCAAACCGTTAGCACTGTTTCTACAGTTATGATCTGCAAAACTTTTACACTTACTTTATGACTAATATTTCTGCTTTAAGCATGGTATATACTGATTGGAAATACTAATTCTCTTTAGAATCCACAATTACCATCTACATATGCATAGTTATGTCTAGTTAACAAATAGTTCATCTTATTGTAAGAAAAAAAAAACCCTGCAAAAACAGTAAACTGATACTTAAAATTGACAGTCTAAGAATGGTAAATAAGGGGGAAAAGTGACTTCAGGAATCTGGAAGGTCCTGGAAACCAAATATTAAAATAAAATAAGCTAAATTTTTGTGAAATGCAGAATGGTCACTCTGTGTAATTAATTACAATTCAACAATGAATAATAGGCACCTATAGATTTGTTTTCAATGTCTAGCAATCAACAAACAAGATAACAATGTGTACAAAAATAAACTCACAGCACTTGCAAACTAAACATTTAAAATGAGTCAGATATGAAAGCATGAAAAAGATTATATCACTCGCGGCATAGACTTGAATTGCAATTTTATTATTGTTTTAATTATTGCTGTTATTTTATTGTTTTTACTGCTGGGTTTATTGTTTACTACTGTTCTTTTTATTACTGTTGTGGTTTTATTGTTATGTTTTCTTTCTTTATTGATTGTATTACTGTACATTTTGTACATTTTATCCTTGTACTCCCGCCTCGATCCGTAGGGAGAGGCGGGAAATATAAATAAATTATATTATATTATTATTATTATTATGAATTGGAGCTTGGGAAATGAAACAAACATATTTTCATATTAGTGGGCATATATTCTAGGGATATGTGGTAAACTTCAATTTCTGGGCCACATTGGATGGTAGTTCATTACATAATAACAGTAGTTTTTCCCTGACAGAAATTATGTTTCCCTGACAGAAATTATGTTTATGCAGAAAAGGTTATACCATGTACAGTTGCCCCTCCCCATTTGCAGACTTGGAGTCCATGGTCTCGCTCTTTGTGGGGAGAGACAAGGGCTATATTTTTAATGGCCGTGCACACCTGCGCGCAGCCCCACCAGCACACCATAACTTTAAATGAGGCTCAAATATTTGTGAGCCGCCATTTTGGGGGGGGGGGTCCGGAATGGATCCCCCTGCAAATTGGGAAGGGCAACTGTACATTTTCTCATCAAGGTTGTTGGTTCTATCTGACATTTGGTAAAGTTTTCCAGGCACTTTACAGGATGACACCAAATTAGGAGGAATAGCTAATACCCCAGAGGGCAGGATCAAAATTCAAAATGACCTTAGAAAGCTGGGCCAAAGCAAACAAAATGAATTTTAACATAGAGAAATGTAAGTTACTGCACTTAGGGCAAAAAATTGAAATGCATAGATATAAGATGGGGGACACCTGGCTTAACAAGACTACATGTGAAAGCGAGCTAGGAGTCTAATAGTAGACCACAAGTTTAACATGAGTCAACAGTGTGATATGGCAGCTAAAAAGGCCAATGCGATTCTAGGCTGCATCAATAGAACTATAGTGTCTAGATCAAGGGAAATAATAGCGCCACTCTATTCTGCCTTGGTCCGCTCCTGAAATATTGTGTCCAGTTCTGGGCACCACAATTCAAAAAGGATGCTGACAAGCTGGAGCACGTCCAAATGAGGGTGACTAAAATGGTGAAAGGTCTGGAAACCACGCCCTATGAGGAGAGACTAAGGGAGCTAGGTATGTTTAGCTTGGAGAAGAGAAGGTTAAAAGGTGATATGATAGCCTTGTTTAAATATTTGAAAAGATGTGACATTGAGGATGGAACAAGTTTGTTTTCTGCTGCTCCAGAGACTAGAACAGGGGTAGGCAAGCTAAGGCCTGGATGCGGCCCCCTGAGACCTTTGGACCGGCCCCAGGCCGGTCCTG